GTGAAAGTAAGAGGACTTTTAGCTCCTGAAGAGGTTCAGTGTCGGAGAGAGTTGCTTTTGCTGAGGAGGAGGAGGAAGTTTTAGTGGGAGTTTTTGAGGGTGATGCTGCTGTTGATACTGACAGCGGTTCAGAGAGCTTCTTCTTATTACTACTGCCTTCAGCGTTTTCCTCCTCTTCAGCTTCAGCGGGTCGTTTTTTGGTAGAAGCAGATTTTGGGCCTGCCGACATGTCTTCGGCATCGCCCTCACTTTCTTTTACCTTCTTATCAACCTTGTTAGCCTTTTTAGCAACATCATCTGTCTCCTTTGCTTGCTGGCCATTTTTTATGTTGCCCGACTTTACTGGCGAGGTTGTTTCTGCTGTTGTTGCTGCTGTTGTTTCCAGCTGATTACTGGTGTCGCTGCCATTGGTGGGAAGCGCCTTGTCCGAGGCGGTGTCCTCGTCATCATCATAGGGCACCAGCTTGAGCTTCACCTCAGACTGAGGCAAAGAAGTGGTCACTGTTGCTGATGTCCCTTCTGGAACAGATAGTATCGGTGGTGGTGGCGGTGGTGGCGAGGGTGACGGTGATGCCTGCATGGTGAGGGCCTTCTTCTTGAAGTGTCGAAGACTGCTGCCACCGCCACCGCCACCGCCACCACTACTACCACTACTGCTGCTGCTGCTGCTGTGGATGCTGCTGTTGTTGCTGATGTTGCTGATGTTGCTGATGTTGTTGTTAGCATTCGGTGAAAAGCTAGCACTGTTGCCGTTTGAGGGTGATGATGCTGAAGCTGCTGCAGCGGCGACGGCCGCCGCCACCGCCGCCAAGTTGGCCGCCCCTGGCAGAAATGGCGAGGAGATGGAGTTGGCCGCCCCCGCTCCAGGCAGTGAGGCAGCGGCATGGGCCAGCAGCGGCAGCGGAAGGTTTGCAAGTGATGCTGATGCTGATGCTGAGGGTGAAGGTGAGGATGAGGATGAGGATGACTGCTGCTGTTGTGAGTTGCCACTGCTGTGGTGATGACCACTGCTGCCATTGCTGCTGTTTGCCATCTGCTGCTGCTGCTGTTGTTTTAGCAGCATATCCTGCTGCTGCTGACGGGCCAGCTCTCTCAGCTTGGCCACATATTGGTCTGGGGGAGAAGGAGAGAGAGAGAGTTAAAAGAGAAAAAGGGGTAAATTGGAAGAAAAAAGATAATGAACGTTATTGAATAAAGTAGCAAAAGTTTTTAAAGTGCTTCTCGGTGCAACAAATAACCGACAAATAACTAGATTGGTCAAAACTAAATGTCACTAAAAAACTAGCACTTTACAAGGCAATCAAGTCTAAACACTTATAACACAGCATTTAATATAGACAATGCAGAAAAACAGCAAACAAGTAAATTGCAAACAAGAAAACTAGAAAAAACTAAATAA